GGTCTATAGAATTGCTCTATGCCGTGTTTTTTTGTGGTAGCCACTCAGTATCAGAACTCTCAGAATGGTTCTCTAAGGTGACTTTCAGTGCATTTAAATTACATCTTATTTTGAAAAAAAAAGCGCCTGGAAACAAAATCCATTAAAGTATTATAAGCATCTGAGGAAGAAAAGGTCTACTCAGAAATAGAAAACAGGATCCACCCGAATCCCCCTGTAAGCCAGCTCTTTGTTGTCCTTAGGAGTTGTTGTTGTTAAGTGCTTGTCAAGTCAGTCACAACTCATAGTGATCCAGTATAGGGTTTCCAAGGAGCGGCTGGTGAGTTTGAACCACCGACCTTGAAGTTCAACCCGGCCTTGTGATCCAGTGCTGTTCCAACTCATATCGAACCTATGCATTACAAAAGGAAGCACTGCCTAGTCCCGTGTCCTTCTCACAACTATTATTACCTTTACAACAACAGTAACAACAGTAACTGTTGTGAAACAGTTAACAACAGGAACTGTTGTTACTACCAACACAAAGTTGTTTGTTCTTCTGGCAGTCCATGGTACCTTAATATAAAGAATACTTAATGTTCTTTTCCAACTCCATAATTCAAATGCATCGATTCTTCAACAATCTTCCTTGTTCCCGTCCAACTTTCACATGCATACAAAGCAACTGAAAATGCCATGATTTTCAGGCACACCTTACTCCTCAAACTCATTATCTTTACTCTTTAACATTTTAAGAGATGTTTTGCAGCAGATCTGTCCAATGCAATATGCTAATATTTTACTAAAATATTAAAAATTTCTTGATTGCTGCTTCCATGGGTGTTGATGGTAGACCCAACCAAAATGAAGTCTTTGAGGACTTCAATTCTTTCTCCCTTTTTTATGATGTTATTGGTCCAGTTGTGAAGCGTTGCATTTTCTTTACATTGAGGTGCAATTCATATTGCAGGCTGTAGTCTTTGATCTTCAATTTAAGACCTCTTCATTTCCAGCAAGTATGATTATACCGTCTGCATATCACAAGTTGTTAATGTGTCTTCTTCCTATCTTGATGCCACACTCGTATTCACATAATCCACTTTCTTGGATTATTTGCGCAGCATATGTACTGAATTGTGGTTGTTGTTAAGTGCCACTGAGTCGGTTCGGACTCATAGCAACCCTGCATAGGGTTTCTGAAGAGCAGGTGGTGAGTTTGAACCATTGACCTTGTAGTTCAAATCAACCTTACGGTCGAGTGCTTAGCCACATCAGGACAAGTATGGTGAAAGGATACAATCCTGGCACACATCTTCCCTGATTTTAAACCGCTCAGTAGCCCCTTAAGTTCTAACAATAAAGCCTCTTGGTTTATGTACAGATTCCTCATGAGTACACTTAAGTTTGGCATGTTATCCATAGTTTGGCATGATCCATGCACTTGAGAGCCTTTGCATGGTCAATAAAGTACAGGTAAACATCTCTCTGATACTATCTGCTTTCAGCCAAGATCCATCTGATGTCAACAACTTTAACGTCTCTTCTGAATCCAGCTTGAATTTGGACAGCTCCCTGTCAATAGACTGTTTCAACCATTTTTCAATTATCTTCAGCAAAATTTTACTTGTGTATGATATTAATAACATTGTTCAATGATTTCTGCATTCTGTTGGATCACTTCTCTTTGAAATGGGCACAAATAAGGATCTCTTCCAATTGTTTGGCCAGGTAACTGTCTTCCAATACTCTTGGCATAGATGAGTGAGTGTCTCCAGTGTTGCATCAGCTTGTTGAAAGATTTCAACTTGCATTCATCAATTCCTGGAACCTTGTTTTTCACCAGTGGTTTCTGTCATCTTGGACTTCTTCCTCCAGTACCACTGCCTCTTGATCATATGCTACCTCCTGAAATGGTTGACCCTAGTAGCCCTTTTCTTTTTGGTACATAGAATCCTTCAATATTTCAAGTTGAGGCTTGAATTTTTCTTCAGTTCTTTCAGCTTGAAAAATGCTGAGTGTGTTCTTCCCTCTTGACTTTCTAATTTCAGGTCTTTGCACATTTCATTAATACTTTACTTTTTCTTCTTGAGCTGCCCTGTGAAAATTGCTGTTCCACTCTTTCATTTCCTCATTTCTTCCACTGACTTTAGGTTATCCATGTTCAAAAACAAATTCCAGAGTGTTTTCCGAAATCCATTTTGGCAATTTGCCTGACAATATTCTGGTTCTATTCATGTTTTCATGTTGCAGCATTTTATCTGGCCATGCTCCACTGCTACTCATAAGGTTTTCAGTGGCTAAACATTTAGAATAATCCCCTTCTTCTTTCCCATCTCTTAGTCTGGAAGCTCTGAGGAAACCTGTCCACCATGGGTGACCATGCTGGTATTTCAAATATCAGTGGTATAACCTCCAGCATCACAGAGACACACAATCTACTACAGTACAAGATACTGACCCAAAAGTGATGGAAGCAAGCTCTTAATACCCCATCAATGCTGATAAACAACGGCATAGAATATTTGCCACCAAGTGTTCCATGAAGAGGCCAAAGCATGTCTAAGGAAGCACATGTCCACAGGCCCAGTTACATAGGCTCCAAACAGGCCACTTATCGTTGCTATTGTTAGCTGCCGATGAGTAGGTTCCAACTCAGAGTGACCCTATACGCAACAGAACAAAACTGCCCAGACCTGCGCTGTCCTCACAATCGTTATGTTTAGCCCATTGTTGCTGGTACTGCGTCAATCCATCTCCTTGAAGTAGTCCTCTGTTTTACTGACCCTCCATTTTACCCAGCGTGATGTCCTTCTCCAGGGACTGGTCCCTCCTGATAGCTTGTCTCAAGTATAAAAGATGAAGTCTCACCCTGTTGGCATGGGGCTAACGACCAGGCTGTATGAGAGGCTGAGGAGGGATGCCTACCAAATTCTGACATGCCCAACTAGCTTAATATTGTGATATATATTTAAGTTGGCATTCTTAGTATATCTTTGCCAAAAGGTCTTGTAAGATACAGGGAGAAAAAATTTTAAAAAGACCTCCCATCTTTGTTCTGTGCAATAAACTTTCCCAGATGAGTGATGCACCAAAGTGGGATATTTATTAAAAAAAAATATGTTATTAGAGAAATCTGAGCTATTATCTCCATGGATGTTACTGTACTTCCAAATTGTCTTTAACCACAACTTCATTTGATCCCACCTCCTTATATACAAGCAGGGGACAGACTCTTCATGAACTCCGTTTATGGCACAGCATTTGCAAATAGTTACTAAAGAGTTTTACTTGGTTTGGAATGATACAACATTTCACTTTTTAAATTTTCTCTAGTTATGTAGTATAACAGAGTTCTTGTGACACTGTGAGTTAGGCATTGGGCTACTAATTCCAAAGTTGGAGGTTCAAACCCACCAGCAACTCCTGGGGAGAAAGATAAAGCTATCTGCTCCCACACAGATTTCAGTCTTGGAACCCCTATAGAGGGATCACTATGAGTCAGAATTGATTTGACAGTAGGTTTGTTTTTGTGGTTTTTGATGCACTATAACAGTGGCTAGACTCCTGGTGTGGTGTTGTATGATTAGCACTGGACTGCAAACCACAAAGTCAGCAATTGAAATCCATCAGTTGCTTCTTGGAAGCCCTACACAGGGTCGCTATGAGTCAGAACTGACTCAACAGCACTTAACAACAACAACAACAACATAACAGAGGGTAACAATGAAAGGTTCCATTTACTATTCTATGCTTTACCACAACATAACTTGGTCAAGTATATTTGGCAAAGAAATAGACAATATCCTTAAAAATCATCAACTTGTTTTGATCATTCAAATTACCGAAAGTCGAAATCACAGGTGGAGACTGGGTATATTCTTGAAGAACAAAAAAGATGCCTCATTTGAGTCAACTGACACACCACGTGGTGTTCAACTACACAAGTTCCCAAACAAAGTGTTAGAATTTCTCTTCAAACCAGGACTGTGACCAGCAAAGTCAAGAGTCATAAATATATAGTTCAAGACACCAACTACAAAATTCACAACTTGAAAGGATCTCTTGTCAACTGGGGCTGGTGGTTCTTTGTGTTTCCATACTACTATTGTTATTCCCATAGTACTATTGTTTTCATTTTAACTTTTTATTGTAAGTTGGATGAAGATTTATACAGCAAATGAGTTTTCCATTCAACAATTCATCTACATTGTGTTTCATGTCATCGACTGTAATTCCCACAATGTAACATCACTTGTCTCACTTCCTCCCTGTTTCCATTTCTCCTTCTTTCTTAACCTTCTGAATGTGGTCCTTTGGCAAATGCTGCCATTTTAATTTCACATGTTGATTATTCATAAGGATTATCTCCCAAGTGTTGTTTCTAATATAAATTTCATCATTTCACTCACAAATCAGGATATCTTAGCAACTACAATGAATTTCAAAGCTTAAGTAATGGCACCTCCATAGGGCAATGTTGAGCTAGGCTCCCCCTCAGCCGCTAACAGGGGTCGGGGTCAAGATGGATCATAAGAACTCTTGGGAAACAGTGTTGATGTTCCATATTTTGTCCTCTTGACACAGTGAAAAGTCATGAGACAGGCGACAAATAGGCAGCAAGATGGGAAGATCTAATCAAGATGTCAGCACTAGGGAAATTTAACTTAAATAAAATATAAATATTTATAAACTGGATAATATACAATTTCCTTACTATACATGATATTTGAGAGGTAGTATGTCAATTTTTCCCCTTGACACACATTAACTAGCTATAAATCATTTAGTAAAAATTAACTTTACCTCACAAGACAAATATTCATAAGGGAAAAAAAAAAAAAAGAGACCAAAAAAATGTTATTATATCATTTTATCTCTAGTACACCCAAGTTTAAAACAGAAAACAGGGGCTAATGTCAGGGGCAACATAAGAAAATCACGTGCTATCAGTAATTATCATGTGATTATGCAGGGAACTGCAGAGACAAGGTAAATGCCATTTATTTATAAACTCACGTCACCTTTTTCTTCTCCTTTTCAAGTTCCTCAGCTTCTCTCTGCCATATTGTTTTCATATCAAAGTCAAAAGGCCCTCTTCTGGACTCGTAGTTTCCATTGGCCTGATCAGGATTAAACTCTTTATACACCATGTAATCCGGCATAGAAATAACAGGAACTCTGTGGGAAAGATCCAACCATTATAGCCCAGGAGTAGCACCAACCACTCCCTTTGTGTCTGAATATAACCATCATCCCTTCCTCCTTTCACTCTCCCTCCTTTCTCCTAGAGCACAAAGAGACAGGAGGCCCTCACTTCTTACAGACCTCCTTCACAGGAACTGGCTGACAATTTCAGTAAAGTGAGATAGGGCAAAGAATGACGTTATAAAGTGGATAATATAAATCATTATTCTATGATTTATCTACTAACTGGTCCCCCTTAAAGTTGTTAATCACCCCTAAATTTACACAATAATTTAAAATCATACAAGATGGCTACCTGCAGGTACTGAAACCTATTTAATCCTTAGATTCCTGGAATCCTGTACCATCTATGTGTATGTTGTTGTTAAGTGCCATTGAGTTGATTCCAATTTATAGTGATCCTGTATAGGGTATCCAAGGCTTTAAATCATCAGGGGAGCAGAAAGCGTCATCTTTCTCGCACAGAGGCTGGTGGGCTCGACTGTGGACCTTGTGATTCACAGTCCAGTGCTTATCATATCTATCTGTATAGTGATGTCTTAACAGGATAGAGCATCTGGATTCAACCTTAGGGTGGCAAAACAACTACCATGTACAGTGTTTGGGTGGTTGAAGTACAAAGCCTACATTCTACTCCTTGTTTGCCAACTTCTCAGCACTAAGAACAGTGACACCCCACTTCTAGACTCTGAAAGGTTTCATGGCTCTCAACAAAGGTTCTATAGATAGGACAGGAGAGCAGACCCATGGGAAATATGACAGTTCTCCACTAATCACTTCTTCAGCTTCCTATCTCACCATGGTCCTTCACATTTGATGATTTAATTCAGGTGTTACAACTAGGGCAAATGTTTGGACTTCATCCTAACAACAATGACCAGTCAAACTAAAATCAAAGAGTTGCCATTGAGTTCCGTGTGTTGTAAGAAAACGATGCTCCATAGGGCTTTCCATGGCTGAGTTTGAGAAGGAGATCACCAGGTCTTTCCTTTGAGGTACCTCTCTAGGTGGACTTGAAACTCCAACCATTGAGTTAGCAGCAAAGCATGTTAGTTGCACTTCTTAGAAACTCCTAACACAATGAGGCGTCACTAAAAATTGAAGCTATGAGGTTGGTTGGAGCAACAAAATGAGATTTTCAAATTATTAGGGAAAAAGAATCAAGCTGAGAGTGGAGCATAGAAGGTACAAATGCCAGAGAAAGTTACAAAAGTACAGGAACAAAGGTAGGCAGCATGTGCAACTAGCCAAGCACACAATGACTGTGGTGACAGGTTGGTCAGTGCAAGGGGACTGAGAAAAGCTGACCAAGTAAAACAGAGCATCAGATATATCAATGCATTAAATGCATCAGTCAAGAGGCAGAGAGGAGAAGTACGGGTAACAACACAGACCCCTTCAATACGCTGTTTAAGAGAGACATATTCTGTACATAAACACAGAAATAGACTAAAAATCAAAGCATGGAAAACATATGTCAAGCTAAGGGCAATCAAAAATGAGCAGGAGTGGCCATTTTATTCTCTGATAAAACAGATTTAAAGGCAAAACCCAGAATAAGACCAAGAAGAACGTTATATGAAGATTAGGAGGTTAGTTGAACATGAGGACATAAACATCTATGCCCTCAAAATACATAAATCTAACTACAAGAACTGAAGAATGAAATAGACAACTCTACAATAATAGTTGTTTCATTTGTTGTTTTAAGTGTCCTTGAGTCAATTCCTATATAGGGCTGCCAGGGAGCGACTGGTGAGAAAGAACCGCCAACTTACAGTTCAACAGAAATAAAAAGAATAATACAGGATACTATGAAGAATTGTATTTCAACAAATTTGAAAACCTACAAGAAATGGACAACTTTCAAAACCATATGACCTACTTAAACTAACACAGGATAAAGCAGAAAACATGAACAGGTCTATAACAAGAGAAGAAATTGATCAAGTCATTTGAAAACTCCCAACTAAAAAATGTCCAGGCCCAAATGGCTTTATTAGTGAATTTTACCAAACATTCAGAGAAGACCTAATACCAATTCTACTCAAACTATTCCCTAATTTATAAAAGGATAGAAACCTCCCAAATTCATTTTATGAAGTAAGCAAGTAAGCATTACTCTGACACCAAGACTAGGCAAAGACATCCTTAAGAAAGAAAATTATAAACCAATATCCCTTATGAACATAGATGCAAAAATTCCTAACAAAATCTTAGCCAACAGAATCCAATTATATGTCAACAAAATAAAACATCAGAACCCAGTGGGATTCATCCTGGTATTCAGGAACAGTTCTGTATTAGGAAAACAATCAACATAAACCACCACATAAATAAAGAAAAACATCTCATGATCATATAAATTGATGCAAACAGGCATTTGACAAAACCCAACACCCATTCCTGACATAAACACTCAACAAAATAGGAATAGATGTGAAATTCCTCAACACAATGAAGGTCTTATATACAAAACTACCAGCCAACATCACTCTAAATGGTGAGAAACGGAAGTCACTACCCCTGTAAACAGGAAACAGACAAGGAAGCCCTTTATCATCACTCCTATTCAGCAATGTGCTGGAAGTCTTAGCCAGAGTTATAAGGCAAGAAAGGGAAATCAAAGGCATCCAATTTGGCAAAGAAGCAAACTCTATATGTAGATGATATGATCTTATACTTAGGAAATCCCAGACTGCAAGAAAATAACTGGAACTAAATGATAGATTCGGCAAAGTGACAGGGTACAAGATCAACATACAAAAATCAGTTGGGACTCCTGGGCCCAGGGACAGGGACATGGCGCCACAGAGGACTAGAGCGGAGAATGAAGTGTCCAGCTGATATGAAGTGAGGGGAGATGCACAAGAACACCCATACTTGAAGATAGTACCCACTTGACCTGGCTTCAATGGCTGGATGACCAGAACTTGACTAGAGCAAGGAAGAAGAGGGAAAAAAGAGTAGTCTGCTACAATTTGATTAATTTGACCTGAATAAGGAGCTCTGGTAGCATAATGGTTATGAACTGGGCTGCAAATTGCAAGATCAGCAGTTCGAAACTACCAGCTGTTCCACAGGAGAAAGATGAAGCTTTCTGCTCCCATACAGATTTACAGCCTTGGAAACCCTGTACAGGGTCGCTATGAGTCAGAAGAGACTCCACAGCACATAACAACAACAACAACATTCTTTTGGATGTAGTAGCTCAAAAGAGGGAATGAATCTTTACAGTGAGGATCATTCCCACCCCACTGGTACACAGGGTTGACAGGGATGGGCAACTTAGACATTGGCTACCCAAAATGGGAGGGCTAAAAAGGCACGAAGTGACTGGCTTACAAGCTTTCAAGAGGGAGTCTGGTGCCAGAGGGCACAGGGGAAGGTAGACTCTCCATTGAGTGGTTTCCAACCTGTCTGGATGGAGCTGATGAAAGGAAATGGGGATAAGACTCTTGAGGTTTAATAGTGAATAACTGCCATCAGGACTGACTGTGAGAGTTGCAAATGTAAAGGTAGACATTTTGTAATAAAAGGAGGGCAGTGGATGCTTTTTCAGTCCAGGAGCAGAGGACCCTGGTACCATTAAGGGAGAAGAGTGTAGTGCACGGCCCTATCAAGAGAAGCAGTGACACCAGAGATGGAGGCAGAGACGATGATGTGGAGAGATAGAGCAGCTGGGGACTCTGGACTCAGGGAGGGAGAGGGGCTGTATGCTGACAGCCAGGGGGCAGACTTGCGGGGCATACCCTTTGGTTGTTTGATGATGCATGGAGGGGATTGTAATCATTGCAATGAAATGATAAATGTAAAGGATAAATGTAAAGCCGATGTTCTCCCATGTAAACTATCACTCAATTCACAATAAAAACTTAAAAAGAAAAAAAAAAAAAGATTGTGTGGGGGAAGATAGTTCCCTCTTTTTCATCTTGTCTAGATGGGTCTGACAAAAAGAGATGGGGATAAGATTCTTATGATTCAATAATGAGTAATTGTTATCATGACTAATTGTGATTGT